ACTCAAGCGGTAACAAACTTCAACTTCAGGCACACACACGAACAAACAGGGGGATAGTGAGTGAGTCAGGCAGGACAGCAGCAGTTGCATAAAAGGTGAGTATGTTTGTTTGAATTAGTCTTACATTATATTTCATAAAGAGTGCTGCCACAAAGATGGTTCGTAGGAAAAGATCCATCCTTCCCCAAGGGTCCTTGATGGAGGTCGAGCGGCTTTACACACTGATCTATAGATCACCTGTGGGGTTTTAGATTTGAATAAGAACCAGATATAACTCTCTTGTGGCCTTGAATACTAGAATTGAGAATGAAAAGATTTTTTTCTTCTAGTGTCTTCTAATGTTTTTAGAAATCTTAAACTCCGGAAATAATAATAATTTTTAGTAAAGCCTGAGAGCCAAGTAAAATCGTATAAAAGGAGTCTGCATTCAATAGCGCTCAGTTTTCCCAGTATAAAGCAGTAATGTTTATCCTTTAGATGTAAATTGTGAGGACGCCGGTAGACAAGGAACAGGTCATATTTGTACTGTATGGGGAAATGAGGATAGGCAACGCGTGTACTTATTCGAATGCAAATGGTCTGTGACTGTGACACGACACAACTTTCCCTAACTTAGGATAAAGGACCAAAACAAAGGGGCTTTGTTAGTTCCATTTTTGTGTCTGTACCTCGTGCACTGAGCACCAGCTGCACAGGAAGCGTGAACACGACACGAACAGAAGAGAACCACCGGTTGTCATAGAAAACTAACCCACAGAACTAGACACAATTTTACAATATCTTATCCTCGCACTTTGTCATCTCATGTGATTTCTGTTTTGCTTTGCCTCTCTCTGTGAAGGGGTCCGTTTAATGAAGCTTAATAACCAGTATCATTAAATTGGGTGGAAATCTGAAAAAGAAGCACCTTTTTTAACGCAAAACGCAGCGTCTGACCTGCAGTATAGCTTGGCGGCCCACTAGTGGAACAGCGAAGGTATAATAAAGAACACACATTTCACTGATTCTCTTGGTGATGCCGCTGTCCCACAATGACACATTTCTCTAACTCCCTTATGGGAATACATTGCTCGATGGATCATAATATTCCAGCGCTGGTATGGCGGTGGCCATCCTGAGAAGCAATCTATTTCAAGCTGGTGAGAAACATGTTACAACCAGAGGATAAAGTAGTTTACTGTGTCAAATAACGCAGGTGTTCTGGGGCCCAGCATCGATCGGCCGACCCCATCGCCCTTGATTTTCCTTGTTGGTCGGCCGAGGGGTTTTCATTATCACCCCCACAGAGAGCCAGGCTGCTCTCCAGAGGGCCTTTGATTTGAAGCAGACCAACACATTGGGCTGATTGAGGGATTGTGGCGGTCGCCCACAACAAGCCGTTAGTCCGTCCTTTACGCAGCACCCTCGTGCTCGCCACAGGCGCAATGCGGCGGGCTGACCTCTGGATAACTAGGTCAGAAGGTGGCGAGGTGGAGTAAAAAAGCCACGGAAGCTTCCACTAAAAAACACCAGAACCAGCCGAGGTCGAGGGGGGATCATGCAGGAGCGTGTTTGTGTGGCAGCGCTTTAGTGAAGGGAGTCGAATAGTGTGAATCTATTTGCACTCTGATTATTATCCACAAGTTGACCATATCATATGTTGGTCCGGGTACGGTATATTCACGACGATGACCCAGAGATGATGATCACAGTTACACGTAAAGATCCTCCCAGCATTAACATGGCAGTATTCCAGGGGAGAGGGAGCGCGTTGAAACTCACCCATTGACCTCCATAAAGACAGTCATGTTGTGTCATGTAATACTGATAGCACATAATCTAGGATTTTTTTCTTTTGTCCTCCTTGGAGACAAACTGAATACCACAAAAGTACCAGACCAATTGATTTTTCCAATTATCTACGACCGAAGGCAGAACGTAGCCGCGGGTTTTCATGCGTTTCACCGTGTCTGCTCGATTCAGACCGCAAACCGCCAGGGCTCAAATCGTTCATCTGGGAAAATGAAAATGGTCACAAATGCTGATATGAACCAACGGGTCTTGAGGAATTTTTCCCAACTGTGAGGCTGAACGGGTCTGTTAAATCCATTGTTGGATTATTCTAATGGCAGCTTTTTTATTAGAGCAATAAGATGGTAAATGGACTGTACTTGTATATCGCTTTTCTAGTCTTTAACACTACATGACATCATTCACCCATTCATACACTGATGACAGGAGCTACCATACACAGAGCCACCTTCCCATCAGTAACTAACATTCACACACTGTAGTCACAGCTACAGGAGCAATGTTGGAGTTAAGTGTCTCGCCCAAGGACACATCGACATGCGGGTTAGCCGGGCCTGGGAACAAACCGCTCCCCACTCACCCACAGTCACGCAAGAACGGACATATCCTGGGAATGTCAAGGGTGGAGTGATATCCAACAACACAGTTCGTTGGGGATTTGTCAAAACCCACGTACGGACTGTATATAGTATAAACATACTGAAAAGCTACTCCTCATTATCACCGACACCAGCTGATTCAGCCGGTGTCGGCCTGATATCCATATCGAGTCGTTCCTGCCAAATCATGATGTTGAAATGTTTTTGCCATCGAATGAACAGGTTATCTGGAGAAAACCTGATTACAGACTATTAATAATGAACAACAGATCCCCAGCTGATGAACATGTTTTGAAAAGAAACAGTAGGACAAGGACATGTTTTGGTCTGAGATGATGGAGATGCTAATATTTCAAAAAGCAGCATCAGTGAAACTTGTGGAAATATCCAGTCTCATGCCTTAGACTACAGAGGTAGTCGTTTTTTTTTTGTTTTTTTTACATTTATATTAATTTAATATTTGGCCATTAAAAAAAACAGCCCAGAGCGAGGCAATATGTGTTTCCACTGTACCACATAAACACAGATTGCTGCCTTGACAAAACAAGAACTCTTCAAAACTGTTTCACCAATTGCGATGATGCCGTGTTGACTCCTTCCGGCTAACTGTTGTTGTTGTTGTTTGCAAAGTCAGAAAGTTCCCATTTCAACTGTAAACGATAGAACAGGGAGCTGGGATGAGAAATATGGGATTTTTTTTATTTAGGTTAGATTAAATACCAACAATAATGCCATTTTAATATTGTCTTATTACACTCAAAATACAGGTTTTAACACCCGTAAGGACTCAGAAGAAAGATTATTTAAATCCAAATTTGAGTCTCCGTACCTGCATTTGTGCGTTTGCCCTACCGCTAAGATGAACAACAAACTGGATTTGTAACGCAGCCTCGCTGACTGACAACAAACCGTTGTCAGGAGCATGCGCGCTGTAACGTCTGCTTTGGTGTGGGCCCTCTCGCGATTTCCTTAACACTGCGTCTGCCTGCTTCACAGCGTGACCTTTCAGTGACAGGAGATGTCACCTTATGGTCATAAACGTGCCCGATCACCATTTCAAACTGTGTACCTTGGAGACCAGAACACAGGGGGAGGTCTCGGGACGGTTTTTGGAGCCAGAGGGACACCGGAGCAATATATCGATACAGTCTATCGTGTGATCCATTTTTTGTCAGTATTCAGCGGAGACACAATGGAGGCTGTTCTGGGAAGTTCTATCAGTTCTGGGCAACACTCACCGGGAGTTATCTCATTTGCTAATGATTTTCATTGAAAAAAGGCAAAACGGCCTGCACATTCAGGACACCAGCCCTTTATCTGCTCGCTCCCTCAATGGTCCTCTGCGTGAGTCTAGCACTTAACCACCTGAATGAGTAAATGGAAATCACCTCGCCGCGCAGATCTACGGGAACCGTTCTCCAAAAGTGCCTGAGGGAAAAACTCTTCCCCTTCTCCCCCCCTCTCCAAAATGACACTTGAGATCTTTAATGCCCTCTCCATCTATGATTAAAACTGTCAGTGAGGATATTTTGATATGAGAGAGCTGAGATCACGCCACAGATCACTCTGCAGCGCCACCGAACATCCTCGGCAGCCGCCTGAAACCACCTCGGAGACCACACACTCACACACTGTGCAGTGAGGCAACACAATAAAGCAAGACATGATACCTGTTGGTGTGTGTGTGTGTGAGGGGGGGTTCCACCCCACTGCAGGCTACAAGCCTTCCATTTTGCTTCCATCAATGTGGAATGATGGGCCATCAGGCAGCACAAAAGCTATTGATTAAAAAAAGGCCACAGTGACACTATCTTTGTGAATAGATATGAGTTTCAATTATGACATTCAGTGGCTATGTTGATGTCGGAATCATTATAACAGTGGGTCAGGGTTACTGGAGGGAGCATGAATTACAATAAATTCCGCTACTTTCAGGTAACCAACTGTGGAGTTCCGTTTGAACTCCTCATTAACATCTGTGGGAAGCTAAAAGAAAAAGGAGCTGAACGATGTGTTGCGTCTTCCACATTCATGATCGCGACAGTCCCCGATCGGAGCAGCGCCCGTGTCGTCCCGACACCGGGAACTAGAAAGACAGGTACAGCAGCGCGGAGGATCGTGCACGCATTCATACCCGTTTCCACCGGAACTGAGTGCGGTTTAATGTCAAAACCGCCACCTCGGATTCCGTTTGAAAAAGCCGCATAAAACGGATCTGCCGAAAGCACCGGCAGGTGTAGGTGGAGAATAACAGCATGTTAGATATTCAGACACCGCGAGAGGTTGCGCACATTTCGGCTACAGATCAGCAACGGCGACACGAGTTGTATACTTGGTGTGCACTCATTGGCGGAGAGGAGGACTTTTAGAGATAACAAGCAAACATTACGTGAAAGTTCAAATTTCATTCACGTTGGTTTTCTTTGATGTGCCAAGTAGGCGCCGAATTGTGAACAGAATATGGACGCTCGTGTTAGACGTCTAGTCACGTTTTAACACATCGATTAACTGCATTGAGCACGAGGAGATTTGTTAAAAATGACTGTTTTTTGGGTGGAGTTTGGTGGGACGTTTTTCCTCCGCAGAGCGAAGCGCTCAACAGATCCTTACCTCTTTGATCTTGGCCCGTTTCTCCTTGGTCTCGGGGTCCTGGGGCTCGTGTCCGGTCGCCCCGGGCGGGCGGTGATACTCGACGAAAGGTAAATCGTTCCCACCTTGACCCGTATTCTCTTTCGCAACTTTCTCCTTCTCATTTAAAATGTCTTGTTTTATCTCGTCGGGACGTTTCTGCAAAGTATCCTTGGCCTCTAACAGGGCTTTTTCGTGGTCTTTTCGGATTTTGGCCAGGACCCTCTCGTCGTTTGCCGAAGCTGGGTCGCTGCTGTCCGAACCGGGGCGGGTGTTGGTCTCCACCGCGGGGGAATGAAAGAAAACTCCGCTAAGCAGCTTGGACGAGTCCGGTAGAAAGAAGATGGCCCCGAAACATAGGGTTATAAAAGCGCTAAACACTAGTAACAATATGAATTTCTCTGTCAACCTGAAAGAGGTCGGGCTGACAGACTTCCTATTCGGGGTCGCGGTGAAAGGCAGAAGAGTTGCAACTGGCATTTTCCCCTCTTCCTTCAACAACTCGAACAACAAAAAAGAAAATGAATTCAAAACGGCCGAATGCGCTCACTGCGGACTCACTGTCGGGTTATTCCATTCAGCAATCCATTTTTCAGGTGGTATAAATAGTGCCAAACGCAACCTCACTGTGGTAAAAAATAAAATCTCCGGTTAAAAGTTGAGGAGTGAGGCGCCTGCCCATACCGGAGACTCGACACACCGATTCCTCCCGGCTCACACAGGAAGCAACGGTAGATAGGCGTGACTGACAGTCGCGATGAGCTAATCACTTTCTGTCCTGTGAGTGGTGGAAATCCTGGGGGGGGCGTGGCCTCTTGACGGCTGGGTATAAAGCCTGTGACAGCAGCGATAACAGCTCCCTGTTGCACCAAAGGCTCATAGAGAAGGAACAATATACCTGATTCTGGATCTGATACCTTTTAAAGATGTTTTTTTCTTTACTGTAAAACCAACAATGAAATAACCTTGTTTATTAGCCCATTTTTTCGCCCATAGCTGCACCCAAAATCTAAATGAGTCGAGTGCTAAACATGATGATGCCATGCAGGAATAATGTTTACCATGTTCACCGTCTTGATATATCATTAAAGCATGCTTACAGTTGCTAATTATCCACAAAAGCCGGTTGTGTAAAAAAAACAGTATTACTACTGTATTATAAGTGCTATACTTAAATAGGCCACAGTAGTTTTGAAGTACCTTTACTTAACTTGAGTTTTTTTTATTATATGCAAGTATATAGTTTTATTTTTTTTTACTACATTTACCAGTTTTCAAATAAAGATCTTACAAACAAATTACAGGCATCTTTTTTGAAAGTTATTCCGTACAGGGATGATATATTTTCTAAGACTGACTCAGTTGACATCGCACTGCTTCCCAGTTCACATAAATAACATTCTATAATATAAAAGTATGACACTGACAGCAGCACCACATTAATAGTGCTATTTTGCAGGTCTCAAACCAAAAAATGGAAACATTTTAAATGTTGATCCATTGATGGCTTTTGAAAATCATTCTCTCGGGAGCATGAATGTCCGAGCTCCTTCGCCAGCCAGAGTGCAAAGACGTTTGACTCTTAACCCACAAATGTTAAGATGAGGTCAATGTTTTCGATTCCTCCACTGGGACCATTGACGTTTGTACCTAACTTCCTGGCAATACATAGTTATTGGGAAACTTCAGTCTGGACGAAAGTGGTGCACTAACCCGCAATGCCATCGCTTGATACAATGAACATGGGCAGTGTAGTTTATTTCAGTTTATCCCACATAGAACTACTTTATGACTGGATTTTTAGCAAATCACATTCACATCAGTAAATAGTCCCCAACAAATACACCATTAACTCCTGTGTAAGTGACGTGAAGGTAATAACCACAGAATATGTTTTTTTTAATTACACCTTCAAGAAAATAATAGGCTTTGGTCTGAAATCCATTCACTGGCAGGAAAATATGGAGAAACATAATAATCCTTAGATAATAACACGTTGTTGATTTCAGTCCTTTATGGGCATTTGTTGACACTAAGTAAAATATCATAAACCGTGGGGCTTTACCGACATTCCTCATCGGCTTACCTTCTGACGTCATGTGTTTGGTCACATGAAAGGATCAAGGCGGGTGGCTTCACCCAAAGGACTTAACTTCTAATCACATCGAAAAAGAAGCCGTTGAAATGTGAGCACCAGAATGATCTTTTTCATCCCCACGTCTTCATAACTCATGTACTGTGTATCAAATGAATTGCTTACTCACAATTCTAACGGAAAAAACCTTGGCCTTACTGATGCAGAGGTGTAGCCAGCTGCCCTCCTCACAATATACAGTTGACTACCGTGAAAAACCTCCTCTCATCTCCACTTATTGTTATTCATGGGCTTAAGAAATGGACATAAAAACCAAAGCCTCAATCCACCTGCATATGCCCACCTGCGTGAATGCACACGTAGCCTTACTGATGAGATCTGCAATATTTGTTAGCTTGTGTGCGACTGTCAGAGATGAATTGCAATCATTTTGATTGTCTCCGTTGGTGACTAATAACAATGTGGAATATACGCATGAGACATGCAATTTATACTTAAATAGAGGTTGGAATTAGTTCACTAATACTGGAGTTTTATTAGGGAGAGAGTGGGGGGAAAAAATCACTCTTGCACTTGTTCTGTGCTATTACAGTTACTGATGAGTGCTTGCCCCTATCTTCAAACTGAATAAATCATCTTCTCGCCGTGATTTGAATGTGGAATGTGGAAACGAATGTTGAGCATTTTCTCAAACATTTACATAACATACATCACTGACCATTTAGTTAATGCAAATAGCTGCCAGGTGCATACAAATCACAGACGTGACAGACAGAAAAACAATTCAGACCGAAAGCTTTGTAAGTCACGTGATGTACTACCTATACTTCACCTGCTGCCGGAGAGAAGCAGTGATGGAAAGTCTAATCTGGGGATGACAGACGCACGCAGCCATATTGAAATTGTAATTCCCGAATGACAACAGGTCTAAATAATGACACGCATTGGTGTGATTACTTTCTCACTCTACGATTCAGGCAGGAAAATTAAATCTGGGATGAAATGTGTGGCATTCCAATATTAAACTGTGGGTCTCCTGCAGCAACGGTTTTTGACAACCGCCATTCTTTCCAGCGTCATTTTGTCAAAATTGGCTTTTCAGAGAGAACACAGGAGAGAAACAACATTTCCCCCCAGTGGTGTCACATTGTTCTTGGTGTGGAGGAACAAATAGTCCTTTGTGGAGATGTAGCGGAGGGTAAACGCACTTTCAAGGCTCAGTCCGAGGAAAGAAATCCCTGTTGTATCCTTCTGCAGATCTTAAGTTAACTCACAAATGAAAAGCTGTATTTGGGGTTTTACTCGTCCTCCAACGTACCGAATAAAACTCTCAACACCAGCAATTTAGAAACTAGACTTTTTGACAGCGTGACCAGCCCGAAGGCGGATACACTGCTGCTGATGTCAGTGGTGCCAGGTATCTATCTATCATCATCCATACTAATGCAACTCCTCTGAAACTGAGAACTTCTGTTTGTAAATAATGCATGGTTGATCTTAAATTTATAAGCTACTTTGGATGCGGCGGTCGAAAGCAGATAAACACACGAGGCCTTCAAAGCGGTATAGCAACAAGATGTCATTCTTATCAAGCTGCAATGAATTCTGCTCTGCGGGAGCAGACAATCCGTCCGCCTGCCTCCTCTCTTCTCCCCCTGCGATTGATCGATGAGTTGTTGGCGCCGGACGGCAGCGGCGGAAAGACGCCATGCTGCCTCTGAAATTACTCTGAAAACCGGTGGTTATAACCTGTGTTGTGGATCACAAGAAGGAAAATCAGCTGGTGGAGTTATCTACTTCTTATGGAGGGCAGTTATCACTTGTAACAATACAGGGCACAACAAATCACACATAGCCGAGTAATAATTTGAATAGTTTTAGCATTGTTGCATGTCGCTTATCCTCTGTAAACCCCCATGACATATATGTGTTTCATTTATTAAATGGTTGCACTGAACCACAGTATTTGAATACACCTTTCCTTCTAAGGATCTTTTGGATTTTTTGTTTACACGTTATCCATCGTCAGCAGTTCATTGGACGTCAACAGTACAGCACTGTCTGTCAATCCTGACAGACTCCTCAATGAGGCAGGCTTTGGTACACTTACTGCAGAGTGAAAGCTGCTGAAGAATCTGGTCTCAGTCGAGAGTAAGGGTCTCTGTCTCAGCTCAAAGCTGTGCGATTCGAGTTTTGCCAAGACTGCCACGGCCCCTCCTGCCCTGCGTCCTTACACACACAAACACACCCTTCACCATCAACAGTCCAAAATTAAAATACCGCGACGCTCATACGTGATTATTTGCGTAGTTGACTCAAACAGCAAAGAGCTAAGAGCTTTATTTGCTCCATTCTGTGAGTTGATTGATGAGCTGTCGTCTAAATGATAGCAAGCAGTGTCCGTTGATGGGTGTAATGATTTTTGGTCCTTTTGACGGTGTAAAAATAATTGTTTTATATTGAGAAAATTCTGGCTGAAGGTCACATATCAATCTCGAGTTTTCTTTCCCCGATCTCATCATCGCACTTCACTGTTATTATTATCCATGTGTGCAAATGGTAATTAGAGAGGAATCTCCGTATCAGTATGAGATATTTGTTAAACTAATATTGCTAATATTGTCGGCTCAATGCGCCCTGGGAATCCACTTTCAGCCAATTTGCTGATGTAAAATAGGCCATGTAGTCATCACCCAGCTGTTTGATGCCCCTCTCCCCCTCTAACTCCAAACCTCTCTCGCCACAGTCCAAATTTAACCTCGCCCCTATCTGATTTAACCATCGTCGTCTCATCCCCGGGGCAAAATGGACTTATTTGTGCAGATAGAGAAAAGGAGAGAAACAAGAGAGAGGAGAGGAGTGGGAGAATAGAAAGTCCGGCAGAGAAGAAAGGAAGGGGATAAGCGAGCGGAGGGGTATGAAGGACTGTAGTGAATAGAAAGTGTGACGAAGAGCAGAGGAGGAGGAGGAGGACGGGGGAGGGGGGGAGATGTGCTCAGTGAACGAGGTCACTAATTGGGTTGAGACTTGTAGCTGCTCCCCTGCAATCTATTCCCCTCGTTCCTGACAGAAATCGAATTATTTTGAAATTCTTTAAAAAGAGCAGAGAAGAAATATTCTAATTTGGAGCTGCAGGAGGCTGGAAGAAGGGGCCCCATTACTGCAACAAAATAACAAGGGGCCAGCATTATAGGACGTTTAATAAGGTCTCGTATAGGATCATACATTTCTATCCGAGTGCTTCTGCATCTTTACACTTTCTTCACTTTCTTTAAGAGGGTTCCAGGAATAAAACAAAACAACATTCACACACATTCTCACAGCAAAACGTGTAATAGCTAGGTTGTTGAACATGGTATTCTGACGCTTTCTCCCCAAAACGAAAGGTCTTCTACATTCTCTGATAGAAGATTATGAAAATATAACGCATACTTCTCGCTTGAAATGCCATCGAAATGCATACAAATGCCGATGCTTTCTTAAAATATTGTGTTTTTCCCAGATAATAGACTGACAGTCAGCCATTTTCTTTTTTTTGAGCTGAGGGAACGTTGATAGTCACGTGACCTAGTTGCAAATCAAACGTTGTATTGTCAGGCTTTCTCCCCAAAAAGTGTGAGAATAACACTTCG